CAAAAATAATATGCTTAAAAAGAAAGTAAACTCAATGTAATGTTTTCAAACACTTGATTGCATGTTGTTTACAATTTAAAAGAAATTTGTTTAAATTTATATTAGTTAGACTTTAGAGTACTTTTGGCCCAGTTTAGATCTTATACATGTTAATATTCATAATTATTTCCATTGTTTTTGAAATATGGTTACAGTGTACTGTCAAAGAAAATGACATTTGTAATGATAAAGTTGCAATGTTCATTTAATATATTAACTTTAAATGTAACATCAAAAAAGCACACTGTGCAGTTAAAATTATAATAAACGTGCATGCTTTAGTCAACACATCAAAATAAGTGTACGTTGTTAAGGAATGACTAAAGAGTGTTAAAATCTTGACATTACAAAGTGCACTTTAAAATTGTGTTAAGAAAAATAGTGTACTCTCTTTAAGTAAACCTAGGTTACCTTTTATTTTATTAATATTATATTATCTGCAATTAGAGTTTTTTAAATATACTTTAAAGATTTGAAATACAAGTGGACATTTAATATAATTAAGCACACTGGTTTCCCTCAAAGAATACAAAGAGCTTTCCTTCAGTCACTCAACATAGTTGTTATAGTTTTACAGTTGTTATAGTTTTACAAACGGCATCTGCCATTAAAATCTTGTAGGTGATTGTCCTGAAAACCTTCGCAAAACCACCCAGTTCCACCTTCAGATTCAGTAAACACAGTAATCTCAAAAAGACAACACGGACAAAAACACTCTGAAACACCTGAAATTTTGACAAAAACAGGTCATTTCCCGGTTTCAAATGTTTTAGTCCAGTGTAACAGGCCCTTCTATGGTGACAATGATTCAAACAATGATAGAGGAAGATGAAAACCTGGTGGTGGTGTGGATGGCTGGCTGCTCAGAAAGTACCATCTGTTCTGTGTCTGATCAAACAGCTGAGATTTGATTTACCTTGTCTTGTTTGTAGGTACTCTCCATGTAAAAGAAATACAGAAGATCTATGACTCAGTGCAGTTTTGCGTATAGTCTATTCATAGCAGTATATTCTGACGATAACAACATCTGAAAGAAACAGGTGTTGTGATGCCCATGGGGCTAAGGGAAAATGAACAGCCTCCTAAACCATAAATCTTCAGAAGTTTTACTGGGCATAATATCAAAGTACATAGCAGCCTATAAATTAGCCTATATTAAACACACACAATAGCACATTGAATCAATTCAATGACTCCTCCATGTGGATACAATGAATAATCAAAAAGACATGCTTGCTATTGTCTTTATTTACCAAGAGGAGGTGTTTTCACACAACAAAGATGCGTAGGCTATACGTAATAGACTAAATCTGCATGGTGACGGTACACTGTAAAACATTATCGTGATTTTAACGGTAAAAGGCTGTAAAAATGCTACAGTGAAAAACTGTTAACAGAACCTTTCCTTACTATATACGGTAAATAACTGTAATAGATCTAATAGTAAATTTAATGTAGTAATTTTACTGTGAAATACCGTTAATTTTAAAGTTTTTAGTTTAAGTTAAGTCTGTAAAACCTTGCTAGCATAAAGTCTTGCTACCATATTTTTTTATGCGGTACATTTCTGGCAACCAAAGCTTCCGGTATTTCACTGTAAATTGAGCACATTTTTTTTTTACAGTGTAATGTTTCTCAGTGTTTACCTGACAATAAACCTAGGCCTAGGCTACACAGCAAATGCATCCATAATTTAATCCTTGTCGACTAATAATGGGATGCACCATAAATAAAATTCAAAACTTTTTAAAGGACCGTTGCTGGTCTTTTGAGACCATTTATAACGGTCGAAATGATTTGTTAAAGAAAAGATCCGACTCAAAAGAAATAATTCAGGCAGGAATCATCCAACAGGTGATTGTGTGTGTTAATATCCACAGTTCCCATAGGGGGCAATATATTTCCTTTAAAGAATTTTACAGATTTGAATATAGGTTATTTTCCTAACAAATATTCTCTCGTCAGGCTTTCCCATTTTTTATGTGTGAAAGTGAAACGAAATTCAGTTGATGCTTTTAACATCTTTATTTTGATTATTATTCTTTTAAGAAATGTTGGCCAGGATTGTATAGTATATATATATACGTTACATTACATATACATAACATTTCATTATTAAATTTTTTTTTTAAAGTTAACACGTTAACTGATATAAAATAAAATATACAAAAACTTAATTTACTTCAGCCAGTTGGCAAAGGCAACAATTCTCATTTTCATTTACGTGTAGCTGATAACTGAAAAAAATGTTAAAAACAACAAATTTAGTAAAATTGTAACTAAAACTTAAATAAATAAAAAAAGCCTAATTAAAAATATGAATAAAAATGAATAGTATCTTAAAATACTAAAATAATACTGATGTTATAAGAAGGTAAAAGTGTTTAGTTTCATTAGACTGGAGGATCCATATGCCACTAAAATGCATTACAAAATAAAACATATTTTTTGAGGTTCAGTCCAAATATTCACTAGAGGCACATGAAAACGAATAAGCACTGATTTATTTCTCTCCACTTTATTTTAGTAACCCTGAGCTTACGTGCTTATTTTTGTCTTCTCTTAAAATACTTCAATATTAATTGCTGTGGGTTTTTCTGAGTACACAAATAAAAAAAGCCTTAAAATGACCACAGCGAGGTTAAAGCAGCCCAAAAGGGCTTTAAACAAAGTCCTAAAATTAAATCAAAGCCATTTAATCAACAAAACTTTTTTCATTACAAGAAAAGCAAAGCCTGAGGCAGTGCGACCGTCCACGAGCAAATAAAAACGCTGAATGAACCAGACAAATGAAATCAACTTATTTTATATTAAATTTTCTTTAATGTGCACAGCATTATGTGATTTTACAGTTAAAGCAAGGAAAGAGAATTTCAGTTTTCATATAAAAATATGAATAAAAATAACAAGATCTCATGTACAGAGGCAGACTCACTGAAGCAAATGCATCGCCATAGATACTAAGACAGCAGGTAGACAAAGAGGTGACCAGGTCAAAGCGGGTAGACGAAAGGTGACAGAAGTGAGTACAAAATACTATATAAACCCCATTTTAGCAGCAGCCTTTGATGCTGGAAACTTTGCTTTGCTGCCAGTCTTTGCCAGTGTGTGTGTCTGACAGTGAATAAACAGAGAAGCAGACAGGTTTGTTTACGGGACAAATTTCCAAAAACCAAATGATGTCACAATGTTGTACTACAGAAACAAACTTAAAGAAGAAAAATGCAAAAAACTAATTCTTCATCTTCAAAGACTGCAATTTAAGTATATGTTAAGGCTGTGGTAATGTGCTTTAGTGTTAAAAAAGTTCTTCACAACCTCGCTAGCTTAGCTTTGTGTCCTATAGTTGCTAGATTCACATGATGTCACTCTGGAAGTTGTAAAGACATTCTCTGCCACTCAAAAAGCTGTTGACATGATGACCGGTTTGAAGCGTTACATGTCAGAGCCAGGAACAGTCTCTTTGTTAGTATATGCTGAGTTGGCAAAGGGTTCAGTGAGGGCATCTCTTTTGCCCCGTGTTCGGGCCATCCACCATATTTAGTGGCAACATGCAGTGTGACGGGCAGTCTTAACATCAGCAGGGCCACGCCTACTTTTTTCTCTAATATTCGTTCAGTTTCCCCAAACCTTCTCCCAAAAACAAACAAAACACTTTGGATTACATAAAAAAAGTGAGATGGTACCCAAATGGAAGACTGACATGGCAAAACTATTTGAATCTTCTATGTTAAGGAACTATTTTGGCTTGGACTTAAAGGAGTAGTTCACTTTTAAAAAAAACTTTTGCTGATAATTTATTCACCCCCATGTCATCCAAGATGTCCACGTCTTTCTTTCTTCACTCGAAAAGAAATGAAGGTTTTTGATGAAAACATTCCAGGATTTTCTTTATTGGGAAACAAACGGTTCACGGTCCAAATGAGAGATTCAGAGCAGCTTCAAAGGGCTTTAAACGACACCAGACGATGAATAAGGGGCTTATCTAGAACCCTTCAAGTCATAACTCGAAAAAAGATTAGTTCATTTTGAACAGGAGAGTCACGAACGCTCATCACAGAACAGAGCAAGGCGAGCATTTGTGCTTATAAAACTTAAACTTTGTTATTTATCTTTTAAATGAGCGATCGTTTCGCTAGATAAGCCCCTTATTCATCATCTGGTGTCGTTTAAAGCCCTTTGAAGCTGCACTGAAACTCTCATTTGGACCTTGAACCGTTTGGTTCCCATTGAAGTCCATTATATGGAGAAAATCCTGGAATGTTTTCATCAAAAACCTTAATTTCTTTTCGACTGAAGAAAGACATGGACATCTTGGATGACATGGGGGTGAGTAAATTATCAGCAAAGTTTTTTTCTAAAAGTGAACTACTCCTTTAAGTGGACGTGGTAATGACAAAAAACTCAACAAGTTCACAGCCTTGTCCCAGCAGGCAAATCTTAAAGAGATAGTTCACTCAAAAATAAAAAAATTCTGTCTTTATTTACTTACCTAACGTCATTCAAAATTTATATACCTGTAATGTATCTGTGGGACACAAAGTGAAAAGCTTGCAAAATATTTAACGATAAAAGTTCACATTTTGTGTTTGCAAATTTTCACGGTTGAAATACAGTTGCTTCAATAGGAATCGAAGTGATTGCGAATACAATTGGACCTTAAAATATATATTTTTTTAAATATTTATATATTTATAAATAATATTCTATATGATAGTGACCATTGTCAAGCTCCAAAAAGGACAATAAAAAGCACCATTAAAGTACCATAAAAGTGGTCAATATGACAAGTTCTGTTTCATATCATTCATATGACTTGAATAATAGCACAAGTCACATGGATCACTTTTATGGTGTTTTTGGAGCTTGACGGACGTGAAATGACACGAGGGTAAATAAATAATAACAGAATTTGCATTTTTGCATGAACTGTCCCAAAAAGTGAGAATTTTTACGCCCCAAGGAATCCAAAGCTGAAAGGAGACAAAGCTCACGGAGAGGAGAGTCTTACCTAATACAGTGCAACCCTCCATCTCTGTTCACGTTTATTTCAAGGTTTATCATGTGATTTATCTCCCTGCTTTGGACATCGGTTTCCCCCATCCCACCCGTTCCCTCTGGCTCTTTTCCTTCTCCCTGTCCCTACACGACCTTGGTGGCGGTGACCCGCACACTGCTGAAGCACTTCCCCATGGCTTCGAACAGAGGGTCGCAGAAGGTGTGCACGCAGATGGAGTAGACTCGACTGACGCAGTGGATCTCGATTAGGTAGCTCTTCACGCAGGGCACCACGGCCCAGATGTGGATGAAGGAGAGGATGGCGAAGAAGATGCCCCACACCAGGGCGAGCGGGATGCCCACCAGGGCCGTCAGAAGCCTGTAGCACCAGTACTTTGTTACTGTGAAGGTGGTGAAGCTCGCTTTCCACACGCCGTCGAAGCTGTAGGTGCCTGCAGGCTCAGCGATCACGTCCTCGAAGTCCACCTGCAGATGAAAGAGATTTCAGAATTAAATCATTGTGTATTGATATAGTAAAATCAGACATAATTTCATTTTGCACAACTAACCCATTGGAGCTGTTTTCCAACTAACTCATGTTTGATTGCTTGCTAAAGGCCTTCACATAATTAACATGATAAATATTTTTCTCTTACTGCATGTCTTCTGCCCTCTGGTGGATTATAAATGATCTTCAGGAAGTAGAAATACTTTTAATATTACTAATAATATTACTATTAAAAAAATCTGTCTGTCTGTCTGTCTATCTATCTATCTATCTATCTATCTATCTATCTATCTATCTATCTATCTATCTATCTATCTATCTATCTATCTGTCTGTCTGTCTGTCTGTCTGACTATCTATCTATCAATTCAATTCAATTCAATTCAATTCAATTCAAATTGCTTTATTGGCATGACTGTACATATTACAATATTGCCAAAGCTTGTAACACATAGTATAGTGAAGACAGTAATAATAACAAAGTATTATAACAACTTAAATTAAAATGTACAAATTAAATTAAATCTATCTATCTATCTATCTATCTATCTATCTATCTATCTATCTATCTATCTATCTATCTATCTATCTATCTATCTATCTATCTATCTATCTATCTATCTATCTATCTATCTATCTATCTATCTATCTATCTATCTGTATGTCTGTCTGTCTATCTATCTATCTGTCTGTCTGGCTGTCTATCTATCTATCTGTCTGTCTTTCAAATATCTGTCTATCTATTAGTCATTCTGTCTGTCTATCTATCTATCTATCTATCTATCTATCTATCTATCTATCTATCTATCTATCTATCTATCTATCTATCTATCTATCTATCTATCTGTCTGTCTGTCTGTCTTTCAAATATCTGTCTATCTATCTATCAGTCATTCTGTCTGTCTGTCTGTCTATCTATCCATCCATCCGTCCGTCCGTCCGTCCGCCTGTCTTTCATCTATCTATCTATCTATCTATCTATCTATCTATCTATCTATCTATCTATCTATCAATCAATCAATCAATCAGGCTGTCTGTCTGTCTGTCAGTGGGCTGACATTACTGTAAGACATTCAGCACAATTCCTCCTCCTCCTCGTCCTCCTCCCCCTCTTCATCATCTCCACATTCCTCATAGACAGCATCTATACACTGTCCAGCCCCCTGCTCTGGTTCACTCAGACTGGTACGGCCTGGTTCATGCCCAAGTCCCCTTACTCTAAACCTCCTGTATCAACCGGCAGATTGGATTAGATAGTGCCTGACACCAAACACTAACATTTAGAGAAGGCATGAAAATGTAAAACTCTTTTAATAAGCCCTGGAAAGCTTGGTTCAGACCTTCACAGAGCTGGCCATCCTCACACCATCACTGTATACTATAGCAGTACACTTTCTTTTACAAATACAGACGTGTTTATTTCAGTTGTGACATTTTTGATTAGGCTATACAGGGAAAAAGCACACACAAACACACCCCGTCCTTCACGGTCAAACATGAAAGTCAAGATAAAGCTAATATTTATTTAAGAACTCCTATTTGAATCAGAATAGCTGGTCAGAATAAAAACATACCTACATTTTTAAATAGCAATGATCTTTAAACTGATAATATCTGAAAATGACTGAAATGTAGGCAACTCGACCACTTCAGACTATTTGTGCTAGTTTAAACAGGATAGCCTTAGTAGCAAAAAAAGAAATGCTGGTTAACCACCAGTCTATCTAAGCTGGTTGACCAAAGAAGGCTGACTGGTTATAAGTTAGCTAAAAAGACTGCTAGGCTCACCACAAGGTTTGGACAAAATAGAAGAGTGTCTCGAGTAAATTGAAGTTCCTGTAAGAGTGAAATGATAAATTACTACTTGTCCAAGGGCTTGAAACCATCATGACTCAAGTTGGCAACAAAATACCAAATTATACAGTCTTATAACAGCCTATCCTCCCCATTCATTTATCTACAGTATATCCCAATTGACTCTACACATAGTTTCCATTACTTGAATATTACAACTATGACTTTCAACGACGTTAAAATAAACAGTTCTTGAGCTGACTGCACAGTGTTCCCTGATAACACCCTCACTGTACTGACAGAAGTATCAACTTGCATTCTTCAGATCTGGGGGCCTGTTCTTCCACATAGTTAATAAATCACCAGTACATATGGAGGATTAGTGCCACTGATCAATTGAATACAAAAAAACGATATAAATAAATCACTTTTTTTAAATGGAATAAACACAATAAAATAAAAATGTAAATAATAAATAATTTCAATAAATCACATTTAAAATGGTTTACTCAATGATATTTAAAATGACAAATTATTTAACAATAAAAACAAAATGAAATAAAATAAAAAATGTAAATAAATAAGATACTGTTTATTTAATTAACTGTTTATAAATGCAGCTATAGAAAATATATATTGGTGTGTGTGTGTATATATATATATATATATATATATATATATAATGTTTTCAAACTAGAAAATAAATAGATTTAATTAATTAATTAAATTAAATACAAAATATAAAATAAATGACAAATAAAAAGACATATTTAATTACATATATAATGTGTAATTAAATATTAACATATCAATTAAATAAATAAATAAATAAATAAATAAAGATTTTATTTTTAAGTAGTCCTCCACGGTATGCATCAAAATATTGAACTTGGACAGACAAAAAAAGTTGTGCAAAAACAATGGCATTGATTAGGATCCATAAAACAATTCTAGCTATCTTGTTTATTTTTTCTAAATCCTCGATCACGATGGCAACAGCCTGTGATTCATTTCAAATCGCAAATTCATGTGCAATGACTAACAAACCCACCAAAGCCTTGGTACTGTAACTGTACCTTAGCTATGGAAGGTTTTCATATTGGTCAGCCAGGATTTATAGTCTTTCTTCAAACACTGTACAAGCATAATCTCATGCATTCGTGATGACTACGCGGAGGTCACTAGACTGTGCTCTGGCCAGATTCCCACGTGGAATCCTGCTCCAGCGTGCTATTAAAAGAATGCACTTTTATGAGAGGAAAATATTCAGTTCCAAGGGAACGCTACGCATGTGTTTCTGCACACAAGGATCTTTGATGTGGATGTCTGTGGGAGTGCACTTGAACCACGAGTGCATCATGGTCTGGAGGAACGCCCCATGTGTGTGTGTGTGCGGAGAATTTTTGAAAATGGAGATGGGAATTCCCTGCTACGCTCTCCTACACAAGACCCCTGCGAGTGCTCAACCCCTTTTAAGGACAAAATAAAAGGACTGTGTTTGTAAAACGAGTCCTTGTGACAGCGATCCCATACAAAGCAAATTATAAACAGAAAACTTGCTTTCAGTGTTCTCTGGATTCAATTTTCAGTCAAATCATAAGAGGCTTTCAACTGCATGTGTCCTCAGGGATGTGACTCAGTGTCATGTTTTGGTGGGAGGGGAAAAGACATGTGAAAAAATAATGTGAAAGGGTGGGGATGGATGCAGGGGGGTCGTTTTTTTTTTTTTTTTTTTTAAAGCTGAGTGTATCATCAGGTTGTCTTTTCTTTCAGGGAGAGTTGCTATGCAAGGCATCGCCCCACGCCCAGGAAAATTTTCAGTAAGAATGTTAGGTGTGCAGTCTTTGCTCAAAAACAGGAAACTGTTAATATTTCCTCTATAAAAAAGACCTTACTTTGACAGCTCGTCACCACATGGGAGTTACCACAGGATCATGCCCGTCCAAATGAGAGCAACAGGCAATTATTGCATGCACGGATTTCACAAACTTGTGCCACAGTCCCAACATTTCACATTGAAGAGTCAGCTGCTCCAGTGATAATTGTTTCCACCCTGATGGAAAAACCAGCCTAAGCTATAGCTGGATTTTTCTAGCTGGTCTAAGCTGGTCTAGAACTAATTTGATTACTGGTCTATGAGGTAGAACAAGCTTAGACATCAACTGCTGCTCCAAAACACCTAAAGAAGCCTGGTAGGGACACCAGCACATCAGTATCATATATAGAGTCCAGGTGAGACTGAATGCAAGTGCATTTAAAAGTAAATTTAAGGTTTTGCAAGTTCTATAACAGGATTTGAAAGACAGCTGCTTGCCGTACTTGTTTCCAGTGCCACCATGTCTAACTGACCAGTGACTCATCGCCTTTGTTATGAAGCCAAACTTTCTCTTAAGTTAATGCCAAACTATTAGGATATGCATACACTATAATGCATAACGTTTAAGCATAACGTTTAATAGTTATGATATATATATAGGTTAGTAATAGTTATGATAATTATAATACAACTAATTCTTAATAAATTACATTATATAACAGATTAATTCTAATACTAAAATAATTACGTATGAAAAGTTGCATGCAGTTGTAACATTGTACTAATTATAAATGCATTTAAAGTGACTGGCCAAAGAAAAAAAGTTGCAAAAAGCAGAAAAATTAAGTGAATGACCTACCTTCACCACGTCGTCATTTAAATGTTTTGGGTCCCGGTTGACCAGGTCAATCTCCTTGGTGTGGACATCCCGAAGTGTCTTTTCGTTGATGCTGTCGTTATCCATTTCTTTATTATTTGGTTTGTAAATGTTCCCCTGTTTCCTGATGAACGGCGAGTGAGCGTATTCCTGCGGTTCCAAAGAAAACAGAAAATGAAGTTCATGAGCTTTGGAGGGGAGACTGGGGCGCAACACAGCACAGCCCTGGCATGGGATGGTTTTAAGCGGATAGAAATGAAGCACCACACCCCTCTGGGACACAGTTGAGCGACCCGCCGCAGGGCGGCGCCATTTTATACACCGCGCGTGCGTTGCTTTTATTGCAGCAGAAAATATAAAAGAAATACACCCACAACTGAAATATATAACTTTTAGTACGTGCTTTAAATATATTAGTTATTCTGAATAAATTAAAAAATGCATTGCGCTCCGTCAACATGCGCTGCAAACTTTAACAAAGTATTCCACCTGATAGTGAGGCAGTTCATTTAGTCAATATTCGTATTCCATCAATTTGTGTTTGCACAAAGTGTGCACAAAGTAAACAAGGGAGGCTTACCGAACAAATACATGCCAGTAAAAGATAACACCTCACATTATCCAACATGCGCGAAAACAAATTGGAGCAAGTGCCAGCACACCGCCTTCATGATAAACTTCAAAAAGTGTTTGGGTAACGTTAATAAGTTGCACAATGAATTGGCATCAAAAATGAAAGATTTTGGCATCAAAAATGAAATAGTTGTAATTCTCACCTCTTCAGGTGTCCCGTCCTTGTATCCGCTAGTCATGCTGTCCTGTGAGTGACTGAAGTCGGCTACGATCAGAGATGAGTGTGTGTGTGGAAACTAGACAATCAGTACAGAGGAAGCAGTGTGGGAGGCGTGGGGAGATACTTGCTTTGGGGAGTCCTCTTCCTTACAACAGCCCTCTTTTTTTGCCAAATGAAGTCCCATAAACCTTTATCTATTAAATGTTTTATCTCCCCTTCAACCTCTCATGGCATCTGTGGGAGTTTCTCTCAGTCACTGAGGAGGACATGCTGTTCAATGAATGAAACCTTCCATTAGCCTGCCACTCACAGAGCTACGCAGTATTAGTGGTTGGTTGGAGATTTTGACGTGATTTTTCCCCAAATGGGAGGCATATTTGGGCACTGTACCATATTTTCTTGCACGGTCGTGCTTAGAGCAAGGGTACAATAATCCCTATTTCTCCACGTTAGAGCAAGGGTGAAATAATCACAAATAAAAAGCAACACAAATTGGGGGGAATTAATGGCGATAGGGACACTTTTTGCCATTGAAATTAAAAAGTGTCCAAATCAACCTGAATTCAGAAGTATGTGGATTATGTAGTGACCAAAATAAATTCCAAACTATTAATTTCACAGCTATGCTATGTTTTAAACCTATTGAGAACACTTATTGGTTACTATTTTAGTTTTAGTGTAAAGTTTTAGCTCTGTAAAGAAATTCATTCTTGACTTGAAATGTATAAACCTGAAAATGTGACTCTCTAAGGTCGGTTTGCATACCAAAACACACCTCAAGGCAAAACCTGCACTTTAGTTTGGAATGTTTTCAACAATAATGCAGTTGTAACTTGTGATACTTAGGCTATGACGTTTCAATAATTTACTTTACATATCTATACATCTTTTAGTGTCCATTTATTGTACATTTGTGTATCTAGTTCAGATGCTGGGATGTGCAGGCAATGCAAAATATGCAAACAATGACGAGATAGCGGCCAAAGGTCGCTGTTGCTCAGGTAAAAAAGTAGCATGTATTACATCTGTTTAAAACTTTATATAATGTTTTAAATAATTATTACTTTATATTAACTAAATATTCCTCATAGTAAACCTATTATTCTGCAAAATAAGAATGCAGATTGAGACATTATTAAAACCCATCTGTTAAGAACTTAAAAGAACACAGACCCTTTTCTAAAAACATACACGTTTAAAGCGGCTGCATTTATATCTGCTGCATTGAACATGACCCGCAAAGGGTTTTTCACATTGCACAAGATGTTAAATCTTGTCAAGTTAACATTCATGTGCCTCACAGTGATCTTCATGCAAAAGAAAACAGTCCATTCAAATTCCAAAAATAATTTTATTTGTGAACTGAAAGGCATTTAGTGCTGTCTTTCATAAGCTGAGCTGTGTTCAAGATGTTTGCTACATGACATCATTCAGCAGGGGTGAGGAAACGGCACCTGAGCCACTAATGTTCCATTGCACAGTCAAATATTCCATTTACTCGGCGGAGCCACTAACAAAGCACAATCAATGGCAAACAGCATGTCAAATGTGGCTTTGCAAGTCAAACTAATCGCCATTTGGTCTCTATTTTATCATTACAAAAAGAAGTCATTAATACGAAAGAAAACGTGATATTTGTATAGAATGCTCTCTATAATAGGAATGTACCTGAAAATCATAAATAGTTTGCACATTGAAATTCCATCAAATCATCTAATTTACTCTTGTTGATAAAAATTAATCAACTCCAAACAATATAAATAATAAATCGCACAACACTACAACCCTATTGGAAGTAGTTGCATATTTTTTTCCTTACAAGCACATCATGAGCTTATTGCAATGTCATATTACATGCAGTAGCACACTATCTTATACTTAAGGTAAAAATCTCAATCATTACAATAAAATCACAAAAGGCTTCATAAGACTTTACATAACAGTATTGAAAAATCATGTAAGCACTGACGCCGCCCATTACGAGGTGGACATGTCCGTGGCTAAAAAAACGGAATGAATATTTCAATTGTCTACTGAAGTGAAATAAAAGTTCACTTCTCTTTGCTTCAGAAGTCAAGGACAACTTATCCTTCAGCTAATAACCCTCAAAAAGGAGGCCAGAAGAACAAAACAGAAAGATTCTGCAACACTTCTATGCGGAGTTAGATTTGGACAGACTTGCTCAGTTTTGCACAGTCTTGATATTGATGGATGACAAGCACCGTCCAATGCTGAAGAAGAAAGGCCCTATAAACATGTCCATCAAGCTGGTCCAGATCACTTGGATGGAGGGGAGAGTCATCATGCAGCCATGGATCATTGGCATCACCACCCTGCAGATGGAAAATAACTCATCATCATGTGTGCTGATATATAGGGCTTATATAATAATCATTCACATCAAGGTGAACGAGTTCCTCTCTCTTTGTTCCGGAGTACAAATGTACCCTGGAAAGTGTGCGAAGCATTATCCTTCATTTCACATGGTCCCATTAAATCATCACCTTTGATATTGTTGACATTAAAAACATATGCAAGATGTGTCACTGGCCATCTGTAAGGGATTTATGAGATTAGAGAATATATAAAATCGTAATTTTTGTAACAAAGTCTTTTAGGGCATTCATAACATTAAACTAATTTATAATGAACCACATTATTGTGAAAAAAAATATTTGTGAGTGGTGCCTCACTTGTGCAAAACTCACATCCTCAATGTTGTGGGTGTTTGCTTGGGTGTTGCTATGTAGTTGCTATAGTTCTCTGAGTTTTTAGCACTATTTTGGGTGGTTGCTAGGGTGTTGCTATGCTGTTGCTCCAGTTCATTGAGATTTAAGCTCTATGCTTGGTGTTCTAAATAGTTGCTAAAACATTGCTATGTATTTGCCAATATTCAGCCTGATTTGTTTTACACTATATTTGGTGTTCTATATGGTTGCTAGGGTGTTGCTTTGCAGCTTTTAAGGTCCTGTGGTTTTTAACACTATACTTGGTGATGTAGGTGAATTTTAGGTTGTTGTTGCTTGCTAGGATGCTAGGATGGTTAGTTTTGGAAAAATAAAAATGCATCATTCATGTCTGTGACACGTTAAATATACAAAATCCTATAAACACATTGCTACGCAATTATTAAGGTGCGTACTAGGTGGTTGGTATAAGGATTTCTGGGTAGATGCTATGTGATTAATACTTACCCCAAATAAAAACAGCCCATTTCCAATTCTTTATGATATTGAATTATTTTTCACTTTGTTCTAGCATCTACCTGACTATATGAAGCTAAAATTATAAGCACAATCATTTAGAAAAGACACATGTACTATCCAACAAACCCCACAATTTAAGTTGTCGCCCACTATAGCAACATAGACATGCACAATTTTAAAAAGTAGTTTTCTCTTCTTCCTTAATGAGGTACATCTTGACATTTTATCTTATCTGGCAAATGTGTCAGCACGACTCATTCCAAAGCTAATGGGGTCACTCTGCTACTCTGGGTTGTAAAGTTTTTAAAGTGTGCTAATGTGTGCACCTCAGGAACACTGACCCTGAAAGAGCTGCTGATGTAAACTGCACAAGGGTCAAGCACCATGCTTTGCCAAGTTTCTGCTTGCATGTGTCAAACCCCTAAGAAGTCGGGGGGGGGAACCCACTTGACTAGAATGTTAACAATCCAATGAGAGTTATGTGTGGATTTTTCCACCATATGTGAAAATGCAGGCCCACCTGTGCTGCACAAAGCCTGTACGCAAGACTTTCTCTGTGTTATTTCTTCAATTTTGTCAAATGCCAGTCTTTATCTAGGTGGGAAGTGGCCATGGCAAATATTTTGCAATTGGGCAGTGGAAAATACAACAGAGAGCCAACAGCCTTCCCCAACAAGAAGTCTTTTCATACCAAATATGTATACAGCTGAGGATCCCGAAAACAATCCCCGCAATAAATGCCAAGGGAATAGCCAGAAACGTGGTGAGGATCCGGTAGAAGACGTATTTCACCAGCTCAAACACAGCATGACTGCTGATCCACACTCTGTCAAAGCTGTGTGTAGAGATCGGCTCAGCAATGATGTCTTCAAAACCAACCTGAGGAATCAAACATAAAATATGAAAATCAATAGTGCACAAACTCAACTACTAAATTAGTCCAAATTTTAACTACACACCTATAAAGAACAAAAGATCAGTGTTGATGAAAGTCTAGGTAACACTTTATGTTAATGGTCCTTTTGGAACATTCTGTTGACTATTAGTAACTTCATGTCAACTTGCTACTAACTCTCATTAGAGTAGACTGTCTGCTTAATATCTGCTAACTCTTTATTTTGATGGTCATCAACAGACATACTACTGTCTATAAGTAACTTAGCAACTACATGTCAACTTATTCTAACCCCAAGTCTACTAATACTAACACTAGTAGTAGGTGCAACGTTACTTATCAGAATGTGTTGAAGGGACCATCAAAATGAAGTGAAACCAGTCTATTTTGTTTCTAAAATAATGAGGCTACTGTAGGCCATGCAAAACAATCAAGCCAATAAAAATGATTATTACTGCGCATGTGCAATTAAACTTGGTAAAATAGAATAGAAAAACATGAATGCACGTGATGGCGGTAAGTGAAAAAAAACTTCGCTTCATACCGTGAGCATCAACTCTTGTATCAACGATGTTTGGCACCGATGTTTAGCCTATTAATAGAATAAGTGATAGTGCTAGTAAAATATCTCGCATTCAGTTGTCACCTACCTTTAAATGCGAGTTAATATCTTTAGGATCTCTGTCCGGGACCTCCGAATACACTTTCGGTTTTTTCCCAAGTATAGGTTCAATCGATCTATTGAATTCATCCTCATCCATAATGACACTAGTCTCCGCTTTTTCTTTTTCAAGCCCCATTTTTTTGTTTTGGAGGTGCGAGGCGCGCTCTGCTGTCTGTCGCGCCTGCTGTACGCGCACTGTGCGCTCGAGACAGGACGCGTCCACGCCCCTCACGGAAGACGCGTTCACGCGCTGACAAAACCGGACAAAACACACACACACACACACACAAACACACACACACACACGGCGCTCAATTCACTGGTTCAGACAAATGTGGAACAACGATAAGGAACCTTTTATGAATAAATCCCTGTCTAGCCGTCCTTATCTCAAAACGTCGTTTTTGAAACAGAATTCAAGGAATGTTAACATAAGCTATTGTTAGTGTTATTTCCTCTAGAGTAGCATAGACTGTAGGTCGCTATTTGAAGCAACGTTACTTTTTCCTCAACCGTTTCATTCATTCATATTCATATTCATTCATATAAAGTTTTTAAACTTTATGGCATTGCTAAATTTTTATCTCCCTCCGTTTTGCTTTTCATTAATCATTAAGCTATTCTTGGAGGAGACATTTTTATTTACACATATGCCTAAAAGTTCTTTATACAACCATATTGTCCTGAAGAATCCCTTTAAGGTCCTGTTAAAAATCAATTAAAAGCAACACTGATTTTCTGGAACTTCATCCAACAGACTGTCAACACACAATTGATTTTATGCATAAACTGTACTGTTTTAAAACCAAATGTACTAGGCTATTAAAGGGCAGTATTTTTTTAGATTTCAGACACAATAGGCTGCTCTCCATATTTTTTTACACTGGACACTACATTGATGCTATTTGGTTTGCTATTTGACTTTAGCAAGGGACAGTTCACCCAAAAATTAGGATGATGTCATCAAAAAACCTGTCTTTGTGTAAAATGTCAGGGTAATGGAACAGCCCTGATACTATATAATGAAAAAAGCATGAAACCTTTTTGCATAATCGTTTAAAATTTCTTGTATTATAGTAATATTTTAACTAAAAAATGTTGCCTTTATTTTTTCACCAAATCAAAGTCATGTGGTGCAACCAACATGCTTAAAAAAAAGAAAGAAAAAAACAGGAAATAATAAAGACCCTCATGAGAGTGTCAATAATAGTCTTCAAATATAAATTGACCTAACAAAATGAAAGTGGATGGGGACCAGCTTGATCATTCTGCTAAACATGTAGCCCTAACACTTTGTTTTCATAATTCTTACCAAATGTCTGAATATAATGTTTATCTATAACCAGAGGGAATGGAGGGAGTTTCACTGGAACTAATACACACATAAACAACAAACTCATTGTGTTAACAGTCGGGAGGAAAAAGGGGTGAGGCCGTGGCGGCTCATGACAGCAGAGCAAAAGCACAACAGAGGGAGTGAAAAGCACATTCTACCCACATGGACACGCACAATACAGGCCATAATCCCTATGGATAAACACACAGCTGATTTCCAACAGCAAAACAGCATGTGTGACTGAAGCAGTGATCAAACTTTGTCAGCATCATGATTCATGAATGGTCTATGAAAGATGATCTCGAGTTTGATGGGTGTACTGTATTTTTTATTTATTTTTGGTCCAAATAAAAATGTGAAACGGAGCAATCAGACTTCACTGCTGAGCTCTTCAATAAATGTATCTGTAAGTACTATAATCTGTGATGAAGGGTTTGGCATGCAAGTCTGATTGATCTATTCAGGAGCAATCTTTTACAGTCATAATAACTTAAGTTCAACAGTTTTCCCCTTGAGGATACGCCACGGGACCAGCCCAACAAGCTATTGAAGCAAAGTAATCAAACCAATATGTCATTTTTATGACAAATAAGCAGGTGAATGACAGCTTTCTTATAAGGTTGAATAAAACAAATCAAATTTAATAGCTGAGGTATACATTATTAGCAAATCAAGTGAAGCATTTTTAAAATCCTCTCAAAATCAAAATTTCCATGAGGACTTGGTATGTTGGTCATGACGATTTTTGGGCACTTGGGTCAATAGCATTGATTATATACACTCACCTAAATAAATATATAGGAACACCATACTATTACTGTGTTTGACCCCCTTTCGCCTTCTCTGCCTTAATTCTACGTGGCATTGATTGGTCAGAAACAATGCTCAGGTAGGCTGTTACATTTAAACGATGCTCAATTGGCACTAAGGGGTCTAAAGTATGCCAAGAAAACATCCCCCACACTATTACACCACCACCACCAGCCTGCACAGTGATAACAAGGCATGATTGATCCATGTTCTCATTCTGTTTACGCCAAATTACCATCTGAATGTCTCAGCAGAAATCGAGACTCATCAGACCAGGCAACATTTTTCCAGTCTTCAACTGTCCAATTTTGGTGAGCTCTTGCAAATTGTAGCCTCTTTTTCCTATTTGCTACTAGTGGAGATGAGTGGTACCCGGTGGGGTCTTCTGCTTTTGTAGCCCATCCGCCTTAAGGTTGTGCGTGTTGTGGCTTCACAAATGCTTTGCTGCATACCTCGGTTGTAATTAGTGGTTATTTCAGTCAAAGTTGCTCTTCTATCAGCTTTAATCAGTCGGCCCATTCTCCTTTGACCTCTAGCATCAACAAGGCATTTTCGCCAACAGGACTGCCACATGCTGGATGTTTTTCCCTCTTCACACCATTCTTTGTAAACCCTAGAAATGGTTGTGCGTGAAAATCCCATTAACTGAGCAGATTGTGAAATACTCAGAACAACCCGTCTGGCACCAACAACCATGCCACGCTCAAAATTGTAGCGTGTTTCAAAATCAGCAAGTCTTTTAAAATATAAAATAATTTGACTTTTTAATGGTAAGGTTAGCACAGACCGTAAAATACATGTGGTGTCACTTTCCAAAAACATAATGTTATGATGTATGATGACAAAAATGTACACTCGCATGCTCAGGGTGTGAGGAAAACTGTTCATCCTAAGGCACAAACAGTGCTAGGGATTTTTGATGAATTAGCCAAAGGTCACATTCCATGGTTCTGTGATATAAATCTACCTGCAGAAAAACAATGAAATCAGCACAATGATGTAGTCACCTCATCTGTTAAAGCTCTCAGCTCTGTGAATCTCTTTATACCGGCACATCACAATAAACCCTGACATGCGGTAATCGTGAGAATCAGCCTAGCAATGTTACTCTATTGTTATCACCTTCCAGGTCTGGAACCTCATATTTTCACATGCATTAGAGTACAATTACTACAATTACACTATAGAAAAAAAAAAATGAAGTGTAAATATACAGTATTCCTGGCTAGGGCAGGCAATTGGCAATCAAAACAGATTTCAATAAAGTCTTCAGCTGAAGGAAACAGCACTCACTGATAATAAAAGTCTTTGCTTAAACATTGCATAACTCATTCAGACATAAAAGCTGCATTTGTTTCTCCATTGACGCTTATAAAGACTGAACTTAGATCAACTTAAGGAAATGAAAGACTAGAGAGATTACATTAGCCTTCATGGTCTCTGCCAGCATGCACCTTTGTCTATACAGATCAAATTTAATGCTTTGTAACTTTTCCAAGCACATTGAACCTGTCAAAACCACCCAATCTCTTCATCTGTACCCACGTTGCTCTGTGCTTGCGAACACACACTGGCTGAAGGTGTGGTAAACACACCAGGGATCCGCCCAGAGCCCGAGGTCGCATTAGTCGATAGAGTTTTGCGGGAGGAGATAAATACTTTTTTTCCATCTGTACTAACTGTGGAGCAGCTTTTGCAGAGGTGTTGCATGAACAAGCCCTCGAGTCCTTACAAGCTTCAATCCTGGCTGCCCAGTCGCACATAGAGGAATATTCATCTCCATCGCATGACAGACCCCTCAAACCATTTTCCAGCATAGTTTAGATCAGGTAGATGACTCTTAACGTTTCAGATCGTGCATACCGGTGCTGTTGCACAACAGCTTCAGGTGTGTCTTTTCCCTTCATTTTAGGCCAAGTCTGGAAATGCTGGCCAGTGATCCTGTTTCATGCACTTCCTTTGTGCTTTTATATAGCTGCCCTATTATAAATGTTCCCTTCATGAAAACACACTGCCACACTGGATACAGTGGACAGAATCATAAACTCAGAATGTTTAGAAATCATATTAGTTGTTATTGATCACATAATCTCATTAGGGTGAACATGTTAAATATTTTGTACATTTATGTTAATATTTTATAAAACGAATAAAACTTATTTTAACATCTAAATTAAAAAGACATTTCTTTGTGAATATTTCGTGTTTTTTTCTGTGTCCTCAATGTTGTTTCCATCATGTTACCTCATGTTCGAGTATGCCTATTTTCCTACTGTATGTAGCCCCGCCCCTTTTCAGCGTTGCGCTCGTTGTCTTTTGACTTCCGGTCTTTATTTACACAGCGATCTTGCATTGGTATGAATGAACTGCTCGTAAAAAAAATTCCCGTTCGACATTTGTTAAGACATGCTTTACAATGCTTATGATAAACATTACAATGCTCATGATAACTTTTTTTTAACTCTACAATAAGTAAATCCACTTCACCAGCTAATTACTCCTCGACAGCGATGCCATAGAAATATACAGAACCGGAAGTTCAAAGACAATATTCTAAAGATGACGGCGCCCAAATGATTAGTCCAAAATGAGTATTATGTGATGTCTGAATATGCAGTTTTCTTAGACAATGGGTGTAACACGACTGTAGTCAGGTCAACAATTCCAACATGGCATCATCCTTCTCCAGAAAAATACATCTATAAAACCACAAAGATCTCTAGACAGACACAGATGAAGTAAACAAATCTTCCACCCTGATCCCATTAAATAAAATTGAAGGAACTTTTTTAAATAAGTTATTAAATAAAATTAAAAATATCTATCTATCTATCTATCTATCTATCTATCTATCTATCTATCTATCTATCTATCTATCTATCTATCTATCTATCATTCTATCTATCTATCTATCTATCTATCTATCTATCTATCTATCTATCTATCTATCTATCTATCTATCTATCTATCTATCTATCTGCATCATGTATGGTTGCAAAACATGAATGTGTTACATAAACCAATTATTTTTATTCACACTTTAATTTATCATTTTCACAGTTAGCTATT